AAGAAGAAGAAGAAGAAGAAGAAGAAGAAGAAGAAGAAGAAAAAGAAGAAGCAGAAGAATAAAGAAGAAGAAGAAGAAGAAGAAATACTAATATTTGTAATACTAATATTGGTAATAATCATGATAATTTCATTTATATTGCGTACAATCACACTCTGCAGCATGATCTATACCCTCTACAGAATTGTTGCATGTAACCTGCTTGCTATTCTTCTTCTTAATGGAAAATCCTGCACGATATGACGCGTCTCCTAGAGTAGCCTTAGGGTGACTGTCAGGTGCAGGGTGGTCTACCCGACTCGTTTAATTACTCACTTCTCACAGAACAGCGTGAAGGGAATACCGGAGTCTTGAGGTGCAGGTTCAACCCTATCCGTACGTCGTGTTTTACTACCGTATCCATACGACGTGGGGAACTCTGTACCACCACTTCCCAAAGAGGAAATTTACTCGTTAATCCGATCCGTACGCCTTGCATAACAGTCTGTCAAAATGATTTTTTGAGAAATACTGAAAGTTTCAAAGAGATTTTTTTTATTTTTTATTTTTTTTTATAGTAGGGGTTTTTGTGGCGCTCACAACTGTATAAGGTCATATGAGCGCTAAAGGGTGGGTGTCAACAGAGAAGTCTTTACAGGGAATCACCTCTCTAGCTTCAACAGCACAAGGTTTGCTTCGACTATCAAGGCACCCCGGAAATAGCAGGTCACAGGAGAGTTACAAACATACAAAAGAAGTAGAGGCAAATGACAATTGTAAGGATCAGGAGAGAAAAAGCAGCAGTTCCATGTTGAAGATCAGGCACAGTTATGAGTCAGACATGAGTCAGCCCATTTATAATTCTACTATTCTTGAACGAGAAATCCCTCCGCCCCCCCCTTTTGGGAATGGCCTAAAAAGAGATCTTCGAACTAGAAGTATTCTAAAATGTGAAGAATACAACCCCGGGTGTACAAAATGACCCCAGGGCGTACGGATAGGGTTAAGACAGTGCAAGGTGTTTGGGTGAGAGGAGGAGGGGGAGAAGTGGGAGGAGGAGGAGGAGGGGGAGGAGGTGCACACACGGCACGGGCGAAAGGGTGGTTAGGTAGACAAGCAAAAGATTGACAGAATGTTAGAAGCATACCCAGAGAATGGATGAGTGAGTGAGTGAGTGAGTGAATGTGTGTGTGTGTGTGTGTGTGTGTGTGTGTGTGTGTGTATGTA